AGAAACTAGCGAGAACCCGTGCATACTGCATGGCTGTTTTCTCCTTTAATGTATGACCTCAGACATTTAACTTTTCATCCGGTAAAATACATACAGACACTCGATATTATGTATATAGATAGGTTGCCCGCTGACCTCATACTCTCATATCGCACATATTTTTATAGTCCATGCAGCCTTCGGCCTTATAACCTTATCTCCCTATTGCCTTACTCCCTTCAGGGCCTATACGTATCACAATATAATAGCCCTTGGGGACCTATGGATACCCCATAGGATAGCCCTTGAGGACCTATAAGTACCCCATACAATAGTCCCTGGAGATCTTCCCCTTATAGCCTTATGTGACCTGTAACCTTTGACCCGGCACAGACAGACACTGAACATTATAATATAGATTTTGAATACCCAAAGTATATCAAGTGACAGATGATGTCCTTTTTGGTGTCACATCAATAACACTAGTTTTTCGTTAATAACTTCTCTAAACAAAGCTCTAGAGTATTGATTTTTTCATGGTATCTAGAGTGAATAGAGACTTGTACAACATGCAAAAATCACAACTAAACCAGCTGATAATTCCAAGATATGCATACTCCAAGTTTGCAATGTCACTGGTAGAAGTTCCTAGAATAATACTAAGACAAATGTTTTCGTTTCAGGTCTGTCTAAAGGCTCTGAAAGGTCGATTTTTCGGACGGAAATTTTTGAAGTCCAATCTTGCTGAACATTTTTACCATATATGTAGCTCATACTTTAGAGCCTATCCTGAAGTTTTCAAGTTTTTTCGTCATTCGGTTATCGAGATATTCGCTAATTACTTCTTAATTAGTTAATTAATTAATAACCATGTGAAAGAACAGATAATTTTACATAAGTCTATGCAAAAACAATTCACTCAGAAAATCTATACTGATAGGGAATTACATTCAAATACAACGAATGAATGTCCCGTTTTCGCTGATTTAGTCCATAAATTAAAATAGAAAAATGATTATTTTTTTTTGTATCTTTGTTTTAGATCCGCAGAATCTACACTTAAACGATCTAAACCAGAAACTGAAGTAAATATCTTTTTTTTTATCTAATGCTAATTAAATTATCAAAATAAATTCTAACTAATAGAAAAAAAAGTTATGAGTAATCTACGAAACGAAATCGTTTTTTTTTCTTTTTTGCTCGTATAAGACTTTTTAAATTTTATTAATTTATATAGATAACTCCATTAATTGCTCATGTTGAACCACAAGTACGTGAACAACAATTAATTCCTATTCAAGTAAATATTTATTTTCATAATTAATTTTAATTTTATATACATGTATTTTTAAGGAACAACAAGAAACTATCGAAACAAGTAAATATTTGAATAATTAATATAAGAATCAAAAAATAAAATAAAATTTCGTTTTTTTATTTTTTTCTTAGATGTTTTGAATACAACACGAACAGATATCATACCGGTATAATATAATATAATTTATTTGTTAATCATTTATAGAAAGATTTAAAAAAAAAAAATTTAATTTAGATATCAACTGATAATGAAGGTGTTAGTCAATCTGTTGAAGAAACAATTTCAACTGAACAATGTAAATTAACTTTATTTATTTAAAAATAAAAATTTTATTTCATATTTTTGTCTTAAGCAATGGATACTGAAACTCGATCAAATACTACAACAACAAATATTGTAACAGTCGGTGATACAACGATAACAACAACAACAACAACAGAATCAACAAATATAACTACAGCTGAACAAACAAATGATCAACGTCGTGGTGATATTTTACCAATCATTTATGATGTACAATCAATTCCAACGATTGGTAGTGGTGGATCAGCACAAATAAATCGTGGTGGTACTGGTCGACAACGTCCTTTTATGAGTAGTAAGTCAATAGAAAAAAAAAAAAAAAAGATGAAATTTTATTTATTTTCATTTTAATCTTTCTAGTTTCAGCTACTCGTCGACCATGGCCTGTAAGAAGTGGTATTGGTGGTGGTGGTGGAAGAGGAGGTTTAGGTGGACGTGGAACTGGTGGTGTTGGACCATCAGCTCGTCAATAAACATTCTATTTTTTTTTTTGTTTTCTTTTATGTTATGGTGTTATTATGCTAAATGTATAATCTGTAGTATGTGTATTCTAAATTTCACTCTGTCATGTATTTTTCAGTTCGATTTCTTCATATCAGTGTACAACTATGATGTTATGCATTGATATACAAGTTCTGTTGAATTCATAATAAAGCCTGATAGAAAAATAGTAGAATTTTCTATATCAATTTTCTCTTAAATAATGAAATTATTAATACGATATGTAATAGAGTGAGGGCTCAAAAAAGCATGTACATTTTTGTTTTTATGCATAAACGAATAATAAGGATATTCTGAAAATTTTCTCTCATATCGGACTTTGTAGAGCTTTTTTCGCTGATCATTTTGGTAAAAAAAAAGTTTTTGATTTTCATTGAGTAATGACGATGTTATAGTCAAAATACTAAATACTGTAATATATACTATATCTGAACATACTCTGAAAATCACACTAAATTCGTT